TGCTTATTTTTTAATATCAAGTCATTTAACCAAGATAATACATCTCATTATTCGTTAGATTTATGTAAAATCATACGGTGGACAAGAAAGTATTTTTTGATAGTATGAATATCGATTGTGACAGTGTCATTGTTTGAGGATTTCAATTTCGCATACTTACAATAACATTTTGATTAAAATTGTTGAGAAATGCAGCAATGGTTTTATCGAATCGATAGGTTCTGTCGATTTTATTTTAACATTGTTGGCGAGTTGTGTTATATATTAAATTGTTAAAACGTTATAATATATTTTATCAAAAATTTTTCTATTTTTATTGAAACATAAATAATTAATTACACAAAAAAAAACTAATTTCAATTCAGTGTAAAAGATTGTAAATATAATGCGTGTGTAATATCATAATATTTCTATATTTCTTCACCCTTAAAAAAATTCCTCAACTTCGTAATAACATTTTTTGTTGGTTAAGTGGCTATTTTATTTAAAAACTACCGCCATCCCGTTTCGCTTCTGACAATATATTTTTTTTCGAAATTCAGGTTTTTCTCAATATCGAGTCACACCCATTAACAAACTGAATTCATCACAATATTATTATTATATTATTCGTTTAACGTCAAATCATAAAAAATCGGACGAGAAAATCGTAAGCAGTATTGTCTATTTGTCTTTGAGTTTGGTTGCGATTTAAACGATATGAGGACTACAATTTCACATTACACACCATACAATTTCGTTTGACATTTTCAGAAAAGCTGCAATAGTTTTGTCAGACCGATCGGTTAAGTGGATTTTATTTTAACGTTGTTCGCCAGTTCCATTTTCATTAATAAATAACCAATTACACACAAAAAAAAAACTTATTTAATTTCAGTGTAAAAGCTTGTAAATATAACATTATGCAATTTGCATTATAATATCATAATATTGCTATATATTTTCCCCCTAATTTTTCCTAACTTCACAATAAAGTACTTTGTTGAGTAGGTACCCACCACCTCCTAACCTACCCTACCTATATACCTGCTGTTATTTAAAAACCACCGCCATCTAGTTTTGATTCGGACAAAAATTTAGTTTTCGAAATGTATGTTTTGTTTATTTTTTAATATCAAGCATTTAACAAAGTTAATATATCTCATTATTCGTTAGATTTATGTAAAATCATACGGTGGACAAGAAAGTATTTTTTGATAGTATGAATATCGATTGTGACAGTGTCATTGTTTGAGGATTTCAATATCGCATACTTACAATAACATTTCGATTGAATTGTTGAGAAATGCAGCAATATAGTTTTGTCGAATCGATGGGTTCTGTCGATTTTATTTTAACATTGTTGGCGAGTTGTGTTAAAATGTTATAATATCTTTTATCAACAATTTTTCTATTTTTATTGGAACATAAATAATAAATTACACAAAAAAAACTAATTTCATTTCAGTGTAAAAGCTTGTAAATATAATGCGTGTGTAATATCATAATATTTCTATATTTCTCCACCCTTAAAAAAATTCCTCAAATTCGTAATAAAACTTTTTGTTGGTCAAGTGGCTATTTTATTTAAAAACTACCGCCATCCCGTTTAGCTTCTGACAATATTTTTTTTTTCGAAATTCAGGTTTTTTTTTTTAATATCGACTAATTTACAGAGTTAATACCTACATCATATCATTCGTTTGATGTACGTCAAATTCTACGTTGGACAAGAATAAGTCTTTTTTATTATTATAATATAACGAACAGTGTCGTCGTTCGATTGCGTTCAAAGCGATATGAGAACTTAAATTTCAAATACTTTGCAATAAAATTCGGTTTGATGTGAGTTTTTTAGTAAAGCTTCGAAAGCCTTTCCGAGTAGGGTTCGTATATCGTATATTATTTACGCATGTGTACGGGCAGCATAATATAATACCACCCCCTCCCCACCCCTCACTTGTTAGCCATCGTTATTAGGATATTTTTATTTATTTTTTTTTTTTTTACAAAACGCGTTGTCCGATTTTCGTTCTGGAAAATTTATTGGCCGAAGGGTAGTTTTTGTTTAGTTGTGTTTTTTTATTTTTTTTTTTTTTCCCATTCAGAAGGTCCGTACCCGTCGACGAAGAAATATCCGACTTTGACCTTTGGACGGGAAATCAAAACCCACAGGCCTCCGCCGCCGCCGCCCGGATCACCGGCAGCCAACCGTAATTCTTTATAATACCCGAGATTTCGGCGTCTCGTCCAACGAACCGGTCGTAAATCACCCAAGTTTAATCAAAATGAATGGGCCACCGGAAGTCGGAGAGCAAACAAAAGTGTTCGCGTGCGCGGGCTTTGGACGCGTCGTTGGACTGCCTTCGCCTTTGCCTTCGCCACCACCACCACCGCCAGCCAGCCTTTGATGGATTTCCATGGGAGACGGCATAACTCACGATTATCGCGTCTGCGGATTTTGCCGCCGCGTCCCTTTCACCTCTCGCCCGCTGCCGATCCGATCTCGCGCGGCCATCACTTGACCGACTCACGACCGTGGTACTGGTAGGTATCTATGTATCACGTGGTATCTAGGGATACTACGAGGAGGATACGCCGCACGTGGCCAGCGAATTATTATTTTAATTTTTCCACTGATATTTCTATCGATCGCGGTTTAAAATATGGCAGAGTAGGTACATTATTAGTCCTAGGTCGTGCCTACAGGTGTCCGAGGAAAATCGATTCGCGGGAAATCAAACAAAACGACAATATCGCTCGACTCACGGGCGATGTATAATTTATAGTAATATCATTTTTTTTTATTATTTGATTGAGGCTTCGACGACTGAGGAGGTCATTAGACTGTAACGTTGGAACGGTTGCTACTGTTGAAAACAAGTGTATGTGCGGCGGTCACCCATCCGGGAAATAGTAGCAGTGGCAGTTACTTACTCTCAGTCACGTCTGACTGATTTCAGCCGTGAATAACGTCATTATTATTTTTATTTATCGTTTAAATGGCCACGTTCATTTATCCTAGATCGTGTTTCCAGATGTGAGAGGAAAAACTATTCACAAACAATAAATATCCCTTGACTTACAGGCTATATATATAATAGTAATGTCATTATTAGAGCACTCGTCAGTGGTGGTTATTGTCACATCGTCATGCGCCTTTCGTGGATGATTTCAACAGGTGATGGCATAACTCAAGGCCACCGCCTTTCATTTCCGTGGGCATATGGAGATACGTCAGGTCTCCTGCAGGTGTGCGAGGAAAACATGAGACAACCAAAGACGATACGTCGCGGGGAAATTAAATAATATACTTAATATACTTACAGCCGATATTATTATACTAAGACGTGCATACATTGTTAGAGACCTTAGGGGTCGTTATCGTCGCGTTGTCACACTCCTTCAAAACCCCCTCACCGCGTCCACGTTCGGCGGGACCTTGATGCAAGGAATTTCGGAATAGGTATGTTGTTTGAAGAGTACTTCCTAGATAGTTGTCTGATAATTTCCCGAAACCGATGCCCCGCGAGTATAATGCATTGGGTTTTATTTGAAATGTGGTAACCATATTATTATTATTATTACCAACCCCATCAAAACCTCGTTCGGCCGATCGATTCCCCCTGCGCGAACCCTCGATGGTTAAACTTACTTTGTTTGTCAAAGTTCGGCACCGACCTCATACCGCGGTTAAAGGGCGAAACTATTTAAGTTACTAATATTTCTGGGATCCTAATCGCTTAAAACATAACGTCGTGGTAACCGGTGATATAATTAGAAGGCGCGGTAACATTTTCAAAGTCGGTAGGACTGCCGAGTGTAGGTTTACGTGTGGCATGTGTGTAAGCTATAAATAAATTGACGCCTCACCTAGGCATGTGTAGTTATATTATCATGGTTAAGCTAATACATTTTGTTATTCAATTGTCAATAATTATAATAAATAACTTCAGGTTTGCACGATTCTGCTCGATACAAATGCACAAGTTTTAGATTCTGAGTGGAGCGATGAATGCATTGATATTACGTGTTTTATTTTTTAACTTTTAATTTACTAAAGAAAAACGGAAATTTTTACTGAAAATCGGTTTTTGACTAAGTCGATTTTGGTTTTTTTTTATGTTACTCTAAAACATGCAATTTTCACTAAATGATTATATTAGCATTTTCTTTAAGACTTTCAACAAATGTTGACTTGCTTCGAACTGTTTAAAAACATTTTCGGTTTCCAATTTTTTTTAGTTTTATTTTCTATGAATGTTAATACAATTTTATTCGTTGGGTAAAAAAGCTTGTAAGATATTAACAATACATAGTCACAATTTTTTTTATAATTATTTATAGTTCGAATTTTAACAAAAGGCGTAAAATGTGCAAATTATTTTGAGTTAGAAATTCATAAAAAATTTTCTTTTTTAATCTACGGTTTGAAAATTCAATACAAAAATGTCTACCGGAAAGTCAAATTAAATTCGTATAAGCATTCAAAGTTCAAATATACGCAAAATGTATCAAATTTAAAATTTAAAAATTATTTTGTAGTAAATACTTCTAAAAGGTTAAACTGTTTTAACTAAGGATTTAAAACAAGGCAAATAGGTAAATAGATAATGTATTCTCAAAAATATCATGAAATATACGTATGGTAATATCCTAGGCTGACTGTCCGTCTTCCCTCGGAATCGTTTTTCGTATACAATTCAAATTTAACACCACCCATTTCAGGGACTCACTAGTAACCTACTGTACAGCAGAGCGACACCCACTTACACACTTTTTTTAATACTATGATATCTCACACAGTTCGTTTTGCGGTCTTTCTCAATAACTATAATATCATAATACGTAAGTAATATTATAATTTAATAGTACCCATCCAAACGGACATTGTAATATTATTTTATTGTTTTTTTAACCATTGTATTTGTACCACCGATGACATGGATCGATTGCACTCCGCTTTAAGAAAATATTGGGCTTCGCACATTTTATTATAGTATTTAAAATGTTGTACTTACCGCCATGAGTAGTTGGCTGAGCTCCTGGTAGACGGCGAAACACGACAAAAACGGAGCTATGATCACCACGATCGACGCAAATATCAACACGTACAATCCCAAATAAACTTGCCAGATTTCAAGGGCGTCCACCCACTCTTGGAGGGTCGTGTCGAGTCTCGAGTACACCACGTAGCCCCATAAAAATATTCCCATTATCTAGAGAGAGAAAAAAAAAAAAAAAAACGTAAAACACAAAACCGTTGGCATAATAAATGTATAATTAAAGTGATTATTGAGCGTTGTAGAAACGTAAATTAATAAAAGCCTCTTTAGACTTTTACGTTAATTAAAGAACAAAGTTATTATTTTAATATTATTGTTGTAACACAGGTACGACCGTGGTACTGGTGCATAATGTGTTTTATGGTAATTAATTAGCAACAGTCATAACTCATAAGTCATAATATCAAAATATGCGATGGATTTAAAAATGTGTCATAAACCGTATCTGCTCATGTCGAGTGCGTATCAATTATAAGATAAAAAAAAAACAAATAAATCATAATGGCAATTTCGTTTTTATCACAATAACAATATTATGTTATATTAAGATTTCCGATAATTATGAATTACTGAACAATACAAAGTATTCTACATAGTATACAGTGCTGTTGAAGACATTGAGTTAACCTAACCTCTGGTCAGCGTCTTGATGATCAAACCACATAGTTGACGCTCAAAAAATATATTATTATGTAATAAATAAGTAACAATCATAATTAATATTGACCAATATTGTTTATCTCACTTTTTCACTTCACAAGCTGAACCAGCTCCGAGTGATTGTAGATTTGAATTTCTTTTAGATTCTGAGAGGAGAGAGTAAGCTAGTGGTTTTACAATGGTATTAATTATTTTAATTTTTTTTTTTTTATCCTGTAGGTATACAACATTTCTATCAGAAGGAGTGCTTCAAATTCAACATACACTATCGTATCTTTTAGAAAATCGGATCAAAGTGGTACTTTAAAGAGGTAATTTTTCGATTTTCTCAATTGTTAAAAACCACCGATAAATTACGAAAAACCGCTAAAAACAGAATTTTAATTTCTAACGCTTTGTTTATCAACATAGAAACGAATTAAAAATAAATATTATAACACTAATTCAACTTACAGGCTATAATAAATAATAACAATATACACTATCCAGACTGACAAACCGTCTCCGCTCAGAGTCGTTTTTCTTGTTCAATGATAAACTGGCCCACTTGTAATCTACTGTACAGCAGAGCGACATCCACTTCCCCTCTCTTTTGGTGATATCGTTCGTACAATAAAAACACGTAGTAATATACCAAAATCATATCCGGTTCACCCCTTGGGCTGGGTCTCCGAATTCATTAGGTTATATATCCAAAGGCGGGCATTAATTTGTGAAAAAGTAAAAGTTCAGTTAAAAATCAACAAGTGTAATATTTATCTCTCGGCTCGGAGTCTAAAATCGATCCCCAAACGATGACGGTCGTTATTATTAATTTGTTAATGATCGGACCACCGATTTGTCCATCGTCAACCGCAGTCATTCGTTTAATTGAGATCGTAATAATATTATCATTAAGAATAAAAATTGTCGTCGACAACCTGGTGATAACAATTACACGCGTCGTTGTGTTTATCCACCTACATTATTCGTCCCCATCTATTGTCGTGAACGAACCCTCAAAACATCGGAACCCGACAAAATATTGTATAATACGACGTTAACAGCCTCTCGTGCGATATCATGGTAATAACAATAATATTGGTAGGTATTATTTTATACCCGGTAACAGAGCCGCCACCGCCGAGCTCGTTTCATCGCCGTAACAATGCAAACTTTAAACTTTTGTTTATTTATCGGGCTCGACACGTCAGTGCTACAAGTCACACCGCACATCACAAATAATATAATGTTCATGCACATGACTCGTCGTCGTCGTGAGTGTATTATTATTATTATTATTATTATATCGTCAGAGTTGTGTGCAATATTTCGTATCCGAGTAGAGGCTGAGGGTCCGTCATAGACTATAATAATATTTTGATAGTTGTTTTTAAGTGGATAACACCGCGACGGTATTGGTTCATATTTATTTGCGTATTTATGGGATGGAGGCAACAGGTGATTTTTTATTATATAATGCGTATTTTCAACAATACTATATAATGGATATTCGGCACTATTTAATATATTATAACGTATCGACCCATCAACTCATTAACAACGATGTCTGGTTGTCGCATAGACGTCTTCAATTACTATTTTATCGACGTCTTTGGGCATTGATCGTATAGTGTTGTTATCCATGGTAATCGTTTATGATAAAAAAAAAAAAAAAACAATTATATCTAACTTTACGATCTTGATTTTTTGGATTAGTTTTTTATTATTAGACGCTTGTACGTAGACACTGCGTTTTTTGTTGTTGAAGGTTTGACGTTGATTTTAACATACGTATTATGCTTTTGCAACCAGGCAAGGCTTGTTATATTAATTACTTTGCATGTTTAAGCTTAGATTAAAAACTTATAATATTGAACACGTAGTTCGTCAGTACTTAAAGTATAAAATTAAAGTGACTAAATATAATAATTGTACGTAGGTACCTGAAAATAAAAATATTGAACATAATATAGCATAACGATTGTAAGTTGATTGAAGACTTTTACATGTTAATGATTTTAAATTGAAGTATTTAATATTTTTCCCCCTCCCTCCCCCAAAAAAATGGTTCACAGTTACTAAACTGAATTGATACCACTTTGGAGTAGTGTAATTTTTTTGGAAAATTCAGCGAGAACTCTTTCGATTTATTAGTTTTTTGCAGGGAAACAATAAAATGCATTTGTTTTTCTCAGTCCGTCTTGGAGCCTCGAGAAGTTTCCGGAAACGTAACCGGAGGGCAATATCGAATTCGATTCACGAGTGTCAATTACCTGTCTATTATTTATTTAATGATAATTAATGGAGTATTTCAATTAAATATTCAAATTCATTGATCAAATATCACAATGCGCATTGTCAGATAATGTTACGAGTGAAAAATAAACTGAAATATATATATATATATATGAATGAAGTGTATTGTGGGGTTGTGCACAGAGCATTTTCATTGGATTTTGATAATGTACAATTATATTTTATTTAAATTATAAAAATCGAAATTGAATATACATACTACATAGGGTTAAATAAATTATGATAATTATTATTTTGATGGATGTAAAACACCCTTGGGCACTTCCGATTCACACATGCGAGCGGAGTAGTCGGTATATTTTATATTATTTATTAAATAGGTACTTACTTAAATGTTTTGTGCAGGTGAAATACCTAACCCCATATTTATTGAGATGGACTTTTAAAATCTGAGTAGGTGTTTGTACCTGTACTACGAATATGCAAGCGTGGGCATAAACGAGTTGAAAAGTTGAAATTAAGTTAAAAGTTAAGTTAATTTTAACTTAACTAAACTTTTTAAAATTTAATATCAATGAACTTAATTTTTAACTTCACTGATTTGTATTCATATAAACATAATAAACAATGAGTAATTTTTAATCAAATCCAAGTTACGTTAACTTATAAATAATAAAATAATATATTATTATTGATGATTCATAATATTGCATAAACGTTTACTTTTATTATTTTAAAATCTATTACCATATTGTTTTAGTATATTAAAACAACATTTAACTTAAGTTAACCAAATAATTGTAAGATTCCATAAAACTTAATTGAGTGGAAAAAAAAATAGTATAACTATTAACTTTAAACTTATTAAAATGTTTTCAATCAACTTAACTTAACTCAATCATAACTTGTCCATTATTGCAAAAATGTCATCTGGTCAATGTTTGGTCATTTTAGTAGAAGTTGTAGAGATATACATAACATAATAATAAATATTTTAAACAATCACATATCACATATTTGGACGAAAATAAGACGGATATTTAATTAATACAGTTGTAAACGTTCCAAGTCGATTGGTAAAAATGTTAACATCGGAAAGCTCATCACAGTGTTTATACCATAATTATATTGTTGTTCGGTGGTTATACTCGGCTATAATTACACTGCAGTGTTGTAGCTACATCCTATAATAATAATTAAATACCCGAGACCCAAGCATTTCTTACCTATCGACTTAAACGTCATCCGGTTGAAGATTAATAACAATAATTATAATATAATATTACAACGATTCGCAGAATATTTCACTCTATTTAATGGCAAATATTTATTTTGTAACGGATATCGCTCGTCGCTTGATTGTAAAAAAAATAAAATAAAATAAACGTTTTGAAAATAATATAATTGGAACTTAAAAGTATCTGTGTACCTATGTAAAAGAGCAAAAAAAGTTGATTTAAGTTTTTTTTTTTTTAAATATATAAATAGCCAGTAATATGGTTTGAAATAATAAAAAGTAAATGTCAATGCAATATGTATTATATTATTTATTATTTAATGATATATAAATTACTGAACTTGGATTTGATTAAAAGTAACTCGTTGTTTATTAGGTTTATATTAATGTAATAAAACGGTTGAGTTAAAATTAAGTGAATGAATATTCAATTTTAGAAAGTTAAAATTATTAACTTAACTTGACTTCAACTGCTCAACTCGTTTATGTCCAGGCTTGTGTTAAATGTCCGTCGTAACTGACGTCGTCGGGTAAACACGGTAGGTATTGGTTTATACCGCCGGAGGACCGTGGTTCGGATCTGACGCCTTTCACCCTCGCCGACCGAACACAATCGAGAAGGGGAAAATAAAATATTATGTAAAACTGTCGTCAATATAATGATATAGAGTGGACGACGATGTTTGACGTAGAACACAATAACATGTGTGTGGGCCGACCGACGTTGCAGAGTTCACGGGAGAGAGTAGGATTTTCGTCTCCGACAATTGTTGTGTTTATGAAAATATTGATTTGGGCACACAGACGTACTTAAAAACGTGTCACACACAACGGGCAAGCGACGATGACAAAACGGTTGGGTTGGGGATTTCTGCAGCAGTCCGCCGACGTACAGCAATATTTATCGACAGAGGGGAAGGTATTTATTTTTTTTTTCTCCTTCTTTTATGTGCCGTCGACGGTCTTTACTCCGTCGTTGCCCTTTTTGTATTAGGTTTTTGCTCACCGAAGCGTT